TGTAGTGAGTTGTAGAGTGTGTGGGCAACGGTGCATCCAGGATGCAATGGCCTTGTCTGCGTAGAGGCAAGATGAGCACCCTAAGGCTAAGCAGGCTATTGTTGGATCGAGAGTCTTTTGGGAGGATAAGCTTTAGACTAAGCCAACTATGGGCTAGAAGGAGCTCATTTTGAGTAGCTTGAATGAACGCAACAAAGTGAAGTTGGTATCAAAAGGAGTCTGGTGATACAACCATGGGCAGACCTAGCCAAGGACTCATGGGAAGTGGATTCTTAATCCTAATGGTCTCTTCTGTAGCGTTTTTTTATAGCTATAATAGAGTATGATACTATAGTTTATATAAGTTTCATTTATTCATGTATTGTTTGTTTACTATTAGTTTTTGGGTTAGAATATGCACATCCTTTGACTCGTATTTGACCTCTCCTAGCAAGATGAGAACCTTTTTATCTATGGTTATGGTACACATTCCTTTCAAAAACGAAAACATTATGCTATGGATGCACAAATAAAGGTAGAGGTCCTTCTACGATTCTTAACGAACGATTCCAACCAAGAGCTAGTTAAAGGTCTCTTGAATTTTCTTTATTTTGATTTTTGTAATTGCTCCTGGATCAGTGGTTAGATTCATATCATGTTTTCTTTTCATTTTCCAGCACCAACGACGACATGTTGGAAGAGATGAAGCAGCAGGAGTATGCACTTCAACAAAATGGCAAGCCGTGAGGAAGAGTATAACATCATTCATGGCTGTTAACATTCATTCTTAAAGGTCGGTCAAGATTCATAACCTTGACACTTCAAATGTATATACTTTTCTTATTAGGACGATAGTCTAATCAAAGTTCGTGTAAAACTTTGATTGTTCTAAATACTTTTATATATATACATATATATTTATACAAATGATAGGATCAAACATGCAAATTAACCTATTTTTTATGAGTAAAAGACACTAATTTTGCACTAAATTTTTTAAAATTGAAATGATTGTCTACAAGTTTCTTGACAATAGCCCTTAGTGTTGCGGATTTTAAGAAATTTGGTGAATTATCAGAATTTTAAAAGCCATAGCTTCTTTCTCTTCTTTCTTTTTTTATCCAAGCATGTTCTTGAAGATAATGTTCCCACTTTTTTATTAAAACAAAAAATAAAACTTTTTTAAAAATTTCAATTAATTGTGTCTTTATTTGGAAAAATACACCATTCTTCTTTGAATAATAATAATAGTAAAAAAATACACCGTTCATGTAGCTCTCATTTACAATTCTAGATTGTGATTTTAATTTTGAGTCAAAATCTCTATTTATTTATTTATTTATTTATTTATTTTCCTTTTCAATTACCATCTATTTTAATATCATTAATTTAAAATTGATTTTCTCCGCTAAGAACTAATTGGGTCAAACCTTTGACCTTATATTTAATATTAGTTCTTATTATTTCCATCTCAGCTTATAAAAATAAAAATAATAAAAATAATAAAACTTAGTGATCGTAATTTATATGTGCATGTGTTTCTCCTTTCTTTCCCATTCTCTCTCTCTCTTTCCCGATGGCGGCCTTTATTTTGCCGCTGGTTATTACAACTCTGGCTTTGGCAGCGACGTCGTTTGTCATCTTATCTGTGTTATACGACGCCGTTTCTTGCTACTGGTGGACTCCTAGACGCATCAAAAAAAAGATGGCTATGCAAGGTGTGGGTGGCCCCAAACCCCGCCCTTTCCTCGGCAACATCCTTCACGTCACCGCCCTCCTCTCCAACTCCACCTCCCAAGACATGCCCTCCGTCTCCCACGACCTCGTCCCCCGCCTCCTCCCGCACTATCTCGTCTGGACCGCCCAATTCGGTACGTCCAGATCATTAAATTTACTGTAACCCATCAACTTTTTATTTATTTATTTATTTATTATTATTATTATTATTACTTTTTTTGTTGCTGTTGGGAAGGGAAGAGATTTATATTTTGGAATGGGATTGAGCCAAGAATGTGTCTGGCTGAAACCGACTTGATCAAAGAGCTTTTGTCCAAACACAGCGCCGTTACCGGCAAGTCGTGGCTCCAACAACAGGGCTCCAACCACTTTATTGGTAGAGGTCTCTTAATGGCCAACGGCCAAAACTGGTTCCATCAACGACATATGGTCGCTCCCGCCTTCCTCGGCAACCGTCTCAAGGTCCGTTAACGATAAGAATAAAACATCAAATTTAACGACACCCGACTCAACCTCTCTTCTTTTTGTAGAGTTACGCGGGATACATGGTTGAATGCACGAGAGAAATGCTTATATCATTAGAAAACGAGGTCAAATCGGGACGAACTGAGTTCGAAATCGGCGAGTGCATGACAAGAATCACGGCCGATATAATTTCCAAAACCGAGTTTGGAAGCAGCTACGAAAAGGGAAAACAAATCTTTCATTTACTCACGACTCTACAGAATCTCTGTGCTCAAGCTAGCCGCCACCTCTGCCTTCCTGGTAGCAGGTAAGCTTGAACAGTACATCCTGTACTGAATATAGCTCAACGGTAATTGACATATATGTATTTTTTTTATTAAACAGATTTTTTCCGAGTAAATATAACCGAGAAATAAAGGCATTAAAAGGGAAAATGGAGGGATTGTTAATGGAGATCATAGAGAGCAGAAAGGAGTGTGTGGAGAATGGTAATGATTTATTAGGAATGTTGCTGAATGAGATGCAGAATAAACGAGACAATAAGGGTTTTAATTTGAATTTGCAAATAATTATGGATGAATGCAAGACCTTCTTCTTTGCCGGCCATGAAACCACAGCTCTCTTGCTCACTTGGACTCTCATGTTATTAGCCACCAACCCTTCTTGGCAACACAAGGTTCGAGCTGAAGTCATGGCCGTCTGCAACCGCCAAGCTCCCTCGCTCGACCATCTCCCCAAACTCTCCCTGGTACAGTCTTCTAAATCATAGTTTACCATATATTTAGTCTTACGTTACGGTTTATCATAGATATCATATTTTTGTTAATGCACAGTTGGGTAAGGTGATAAATGAATCCCTGAGGCTATACCCACCCGCGAGCATTCTTCCAAGGATGGCGTTTGAGGATATAAAGCTCGGGGACTTAGAGATCCCAAAAGGGTTGTCGATATGGATCCCAGTGCTAGCCATTCACCACAGTGAGGAGCTATGGGGAAAGGACGCGAATGAGTTCAACCCCGAAAGATTTGAGAGCTCGAAGGCGTTCACGTCGGGTAGGTTCATACCATTTGCTTCTGGACCGCGCAACTGTGTCGGCCAATCTTTCGCTGTCATGGAAACGAAGATCATATTGGCCATGCTCATCGCCAAGTTTTCCTTCACCATCTCCCCAAACTATCGCCATGCACCCGTCGTTGTGCTCACTATCAAACCTAAATATGGTGTTCAAGTTTGCTTGACCCCGGTGACATCGAGCTTGGTCGGTTTGTGAGCATTATTATTATTATTATTATTATTATTATTATTATTATTATTATTATAAAATATAGTTTGTTAAGAAAAAAGAATTAATTAACGAATTAAAGATGTCAAATAATAAACAATAAATATGGCCACCATATACAAAATTAAAAATATATATATATTTGAAAATAATTAGTTGCATAATAAAGACAAATTCTTTATATATCCATAATTTAAAATGATCATAGTATATATATATATATATATATAGAATTTATTGACTTTAAATCATAGAGAATTTAAATCCCATAAAATTAAAAAAAAATGATTTTTTTTTTTTTTTTTTTTTTTTTTTTTNTTTTTTTTTTTTTTTTTTTTTTTTTTTTTTTTTTTTTTTTTTTTTTTTTTAATGATAAGATCCATTATCTCCAATTTGCATGTATAGTTACATCCACCGCTAATTTTTTGGCTTTTTCTAATGAAATAAATTACCAACCACCACTTTTTTTTTCTTGATTTAATTTAACTTTATAGGAACTAGGTAATGACGTGGATAATTCACTCATGTTATTAATGGGATAACCAATACATTATATTGCGTGATTTCATTTACTTTCCTAATCCAAATTAATATATTGATTTACGTTTTCTACCATCTAAGTAATATTAGAAAGAAAAAGTAATTATAAAAATAGGATATGTATTCATTAGGGTTTGATTAGTGTCTCATCATTTGCGATACCCAACGTCATTATCAAAGGACTTAAAAAAGTTAAATGAATAGTTGTATTTTATCTCTAAAAATACCTCTAAACTTTTAGTATTTTATTTTTAAAATACTCTTCAATTTTAAAAGGATAATATTTTAAAAATACCATTGAATTCTAAAAAATTAATAAACACCCTTCGACCTTTAAAAAAAAAAAAAAAAATTGGAGAGCCAAAAGAAACAATGGGTTGATGAAGAACTGGACAATCACTTGTATTTGGGGATTTCATGGAGCTGTGATTAGGTAGAAAAACAGAAGAAAGTGACCAAATGTGGAGTCCGAAGTGTTCTTCAGCTCACCAAAAATCAACGCTCACTCAGCTTTTCCATTAAGTAATCAATGGAAAATCGTTTGTTCGAGACATTTGATAGTCCCAATATTGTCCCAACATTTTCTTACGACATAACTACAGTGTCTATTTGTTACTTTTAAAAATAAATATTATTTCCACTTTATTCTCTTCCTAAATTTAAAATCATGAGAAATTTATCTATAAGATTAATGAAACATTTTGTAAATATTAAAAAAAAAATTGACAATGGTGAAGTTTGGTGAAGCAAATTAAAAAAATAATAATAATAATAGAAATAGAAATGTGGGGTTGCATGGACCTCCCAAACAAACGTGTACCTGTCAAATCAAAGCAGTAAACTAGTCATCGGCCAAACCCAACCCAACAAGATTAAGAATTGAACATAAATCACCATTTATGGAGGGCCAACCAGCTCATTCAATGTCAAGGGCTAGCCCATCAATTTACCAATGGGTTCAGCTTTGGTTCTAACCAAGCACAAGAAGTTGCCATATTCGACCCAAATCAAGTGAGACTGATTCAGCCAAAAACAGAGAAGTGGTGTCTAATTTCAAAGCGTCTGTGCGTTTAATTAATAGTTATTGATACATCATCTCACAAAAATAGTAAATAATACATTACTTCAACAGCTTCCTGATGTTGCAAGGCCAATAGCATAGTTTCCAAACTTTTCTTCAAGGGAAAGAAATCTTTCCCTACACAAATCATATCATGAAAGAATGACCATAACTCGGTCCAAAAAGTTACTAACAATGCTCGTTCAGCCAAGAGATGATGTCGTCAAATACTTGGATTATTATTTCATCGGGCTCGCCCTCTAAAAGAGAATGGTATGCATCTTTATAAAGTTTTATACTCTTATCTGAACTGCTCGCTTTCTCGTACAACGCCTTGCTCACGGATGGGTCTGTTACGGTATCAGCCTCCCCATGCAGGATCAGTAATGGCAGGGAAACCTAGTAAGACATCTCAATAAACTGATTTAGTTATCAAAGTTGTGTTTTCTGTACTTTTTACTAGAATCAACATGAATTTACAATAAAAGCCACAATGTATCTTTAAATGAATTAGATTCTTAAATGAAGATTAGAAACTATATTCCATTCTGTGATATGACAATATTTATCTTTTCAACAATGAGAATAAGAATTTTATTGATGTGACGAACGTACAAGAGTGTCAAACAAAGGATTAAAAGGAATGTCCAACAACCACGGAGTAACAAAAAGGTTCTCCAACTGGTCAACAAAGCGAATAGGTTAGAAAAGCACTTAGATTTGAAGGGTCTGTCTGTTTGATAATAAAGAAACATGTTCAATGACTATCTATGTTTCTTGATTATTTAAAACAGTAGAACAGAAACGAAAAACGAGAAACGAGAAACAAGAACAGTATCAAACGTGTCCAAAAGATGTAAAAATGATGACATCTTGTGTAAGTTGATCACAAGATTATACTTACTCGCCGAAAATATTTCTATTTCACTCAAGGAAAGCCTCAAAAGGATAAGGGATAAATATCCCTTATCGCCCATATAACCAGAGAAAAGAGATATGGTACATAAAAACTAGGTGCCATGTCAAGCAATTCTGCTCTAATGGTACAGTAACTAACATTAACCACTCGAGTAAACCTGTTATTTATCAAGTCCTGACAATAAAACATCTTTTTACCCATTTACTGAAACTTCTAGATCATACTAAATGTTTCAGCATCTATGAGTGAACATAGTTATGCGAGAAAATAAATAAGTGGATTTCAAGAGGCTTAAGTACTAGGGTATGGTTCTTCCGGGTCGAGAATTTGATTTCAATGATTTGAATTTGGGAACAAAGAAGTTTTGCGACTATCACACATGGTTTATGTTGAGAATTGTTGGGAGGGAGTCCACATTCGCTAATTTAGGGTCGATCATGGGTTTATAAGTAAGGAATACATCTCCATTGGTATGAGGCCTATTCGAGAAGCCCAAAGCAAAACCATGAGAGCTTATGCTCAAAGTGAACAATATCATACCATTTTGGAGGTTCGTGATTCCTAACTGTTTATGTTCAGGTTACCTACAAATGTAGAAAGAAAAAAACAAGAGAAAAGAAAAGGACGGCCTCTTTATATGAGAAAAAATTATGGAACCAACAAGGTTTAAAGGCATCTTTGCTTGAACAGGATCTAATCTAAGATCTAATGTAGCCCTTGCTCCTCTACCTCCCCATTTTCTCCTTTCTAACGGAAGGTGAAAATTTCCAAGGTTAAACCCTTGGCATGACATGTATTTATTACATGGGGTATTATGGATTGCCATTTGGAGGCATTTTTCCTTCTTTTTTGGGCTACAATGGTTTTTATTCTTGGTAGGAAGGCATTTGATGACTTGAACCATTTGTCTTGGAGGTGCCAGTTTACTCGCTCGATTTGGAATGACTGGTTCTAGGCTTTCAGAGTCTGTTTGGCCCTGCTTCAACCTCCCTTTGGAGGAGGGGTGGAGTTTTATGGAGGGATGGTTTCTTTGTTGTTTTATGGGGCATCTAAATCGAGCTAAGTAACAAAATCTTCAGGGGAGTGAAATACTATAGAGGAGTTTGGATACTTAGCTAGACTTATGCCTCACTTTGGACATTTGTGTCTAAATATTTATGTTAGGTCTTGTTCTCTTAGACTAGAGCTATTTTCTTCTTTGTTGGGCTAGTCACAATTTAGCTCCTCTTGAGCTTCTTTTTATTGGCCTCTTTCTTGTTTTCAGGCCAATGTTGATCTCTGACATTCTTTCATCTTCCTCTCAATAAAAGCTTGTTCAATTGAAACAAAGAACTTCCAACTGAATTGGGGTGCCCTCCCCAACCTTCTAAAATTTCATATCATCAATGTTTTAAACAGGAAGAGAGATTCTGAGGAGTACCTGAAATCTATGTTTAAAAAAAAAAAAATGAAAAACATGTTCGGTGAAGACCAGTTGAGAAAGATGTTAGGTAAAAAACATATCATAATTAAAAAGTTGAGTATAGCCTACTTCTTTCAATCTGCGTTCTATTTCTTGCGTAGTTCTCAACATTTCTACTGCAGTCTGCAAGCGTGGTTTATGCTTGTATGCAATGACATTATATGCTGTCTGCATCCATAGAAATACAAAATAATTAATAAATAAAACATACAAATATTTACTAACATTCGGATTAAAACTTCACTTAAAAGTAGGGCGAATAAATCTCTATGAACTTCTAGATCAAAGACTAACAATAGAAGAGAAAAGGTAAAATCATTATCACTCACTCAACCATGAACAAGCATGCATTTATTAAAATCCCCCCACCCGTATAAAAAACCATGCACTTGTTATTTTTAATACCACCATTTTGTTCAAAAAGGGGCAAACCAGTTCTCTATGCTTCATGTCTCTAAAAGCTGCCTCAGCCAAATTTTTCTGTGGAACCAACTTGTACTTTGGAAGGAATTTAGCCACTCCGATCAATATTTGTGCTAGTGCCCATGGTGGAACCATATCATCTGCAATCTAGAGATAATTTTTTAGTTGATTGAGCCCTCGATAGCAAGGAAAGTGTTCCAAAAAAATCTTTTCAGAAAGATACCTTGCACATTGGCGCAACAAGAACTGCACCGGTCCATGCATGAGGTTGCTTTAGGTGTACCTTGAGAGCCACAGCTCCACCCAAAGACTGCCCAAAGAGAAAGCTTGGGAGAGCACTAAACTCCGGGTTCTCTGCCCTTGGAATCAAGTAAAGAAAATTCTAATAAAGGATTGTCATGAAAAACTTTGTAATTTATGATTTCTGTTGAGACATAATTAACATAAAACCAATATTTGGTACGTTAACACACCTTTCACTTTGGAGTAATGTTCAATGACATCATCTACAATTTTGTCAAAGCTTGGTATGAAGCCATGAAGACCTTCTGAAAGACCAAATCCTGGATAATCCATAGAAAAGACACCATACCCTGACAATGCTAACTTCCTTGCAATTCCTGAAATACAATACCACAAAAAAGTCGATAACTACTATAATATACAAAACAAAAAACTATGTCATTTCTATTACTGGAAAGGAATCACATGCCTTCAAAGAAAAATGTGCAGGTGTCTCCATAGCCATGACAATAACACACCATTGCTTTTGGACGGACAGTCTCCGGAATCCAGCATTTTGAGAATATACTCAATCCTCTGGAGTTGACCTCATATGACTACCAAAAAGATTGATCACCTTACTTGGAAACAAAATCGCATAGACTTCCAAACTTCCATTAACATCTAAGCAAAGCACATGGCTCTTTTTATCTTTTCCTTTTTTGTAAACAAAATAAAGCTTCTGCTAATATTGATGAATTGCAAATGAACACGACAGTAGAAAGGCCTGGATAATATTTGCAAGAGAAAATAACAAAAGTGGCCCCATTCATCATCGAAACACTAGGGCTGGCTGCTAGAAAGCCATGGCCGTGAAATGTAATGGGAAATAGCAAGAAGAAATGGCGATTGATTCATCATACTTCGTTTCAAATTTCCAAATTGGCGTGGTCTATAAGCTTAAAGATTATACCATTTCAATAACTGAAATACACTAGAATCATATTGCACAACTCTATTTTAGAGATTACCTCTTCCGTCTTCAATCCGTCGCTTGGTGTCTGACAAAGAATAGCGATAAAAGTCAGTGAGATCCAATAGAAAATAAAACTCCCATACTTCAAAAATCAAACACAAATAACAGTGCATCGAATATCCAAAATCGACCTTCACCTAAATAACATACACGAGAAACCAGAATACCTTGAACAGTATGTGATCGATTCCGAGCTGGATTTCTTTGAACGCCTCCCGCACTCGGCGTCTCGTCGATACGTCGTCCATGTTAGCATCGAGAAGTTTCAGCAGCTCATCATTAACACCATGCAATTTCATTTTTGGCGCCATTACCGCCTTCCTGGAGCTGCTCTTTCCTCTCGAATATCCCTTGTAGCTGTATTCTACACAATTTCGGTCAAAATCCGCAATACATTACAGAAAAAATGAATCAAGAAATCAAGAAATTCATCAAATGCTTTCTAAATTTTACGGGAGCGGGTATTCGCTATTGCTCTTGCTGTTATGGTAGGTCGCGTATGGAAAGTAAAGTGCTCGAGAGAAGATGGCGAGGGTCGCACAGCCATGTGGAGTTCTCGTGGTTGGCTTTCAGAAATTGTTTAATCTTAGTCAAATAGAAAGTCAGAGCCAGCTTAGTTTAACTTATTTACTTCTTTAATTTAAATAATTTGCTGTTTACCGCTGCAATTCGAAAGTTTGTTTATGGTTTTTTTTTTCCTTTTATTTTTTTTACTGTACCATTAAAATTATATTAGTCAGTTTTTTTCTAAATTTAAATAATAAAGTTTTATCTTCCGGTTTTTTTTTTTTTTTCACTCGTCTGGATTTATATAAGTAAAGTATTTTTCGACAAATTTTCTGCATTTTTAAAGACATTTGTTCTAATCATCTAACGCTATATATATATATATATATATATATATATATATATATAAATAATATGTATAAATGGATCCTATTTTGGTCATATTTTCTTCGTTACCATTTTTGAAATAGTCTAATTCAAACTTTGAAGGGTCAAAATTTTAAGCTAAATATTTTATTATTTTATTTTTTGATTTTGTGTAACTTTTCAAGATCTAGGTAAAAGTTGAAATAGTAAATTTTATTATTTTATTTTTTGATTTCGTGTAACTTTTTGAGATATCCGAGCTAGAAAGTGTAAACGAACAGTGAAAAGATGTTGAAAATGAGTCGTTAGTGCTCAAGTCACAGCAGACTGAGAGAAAATAATAAGATAGAAATGAGAAAGGAGAAACAAAATGTGGACATTTGATAATCTCAAAGTAAGATTCCAGCATGGCCTCGGAAAGTTTTAACACCATTTCAAGGAGGCATAAGTTTGTTGGTATTGCCGGTGATAATAAGGAAGAGTTCATATTTAGAAATATAGAACTCATACAATATGTAATGAGTCGTTTCGGTTAAGCTCGTGAAGCATACATATTGTGTGCTCTCTTTTGACAATTTCCCAACTTTGAATGATGAACTGGTCGTGTACGTTAATGTTCACATATCCGATGTCGGGATACAAATTCACCATATTAATTTCTCAATACGTAAAAAAGTGTAGCACCTCCAAATGATTATTAATATTGACAGATATCAAGCCTTTTATTTACAAGGGAAGAGAATTGATTAAGCATAGCCATAGCGCCTATAGATCAATCCGATCAGCTCCTATTTCTATCTTCAAGAAACGGATGCATTCCTGCTGCAACATTTCCCCTCCTCGCACTGGATCAAAACTACACTTGTAGAAACTGAAGACAAAAAAAAAAAATGAAAATTAACAAGAAATAACTAGATTTCATTTTCTTTTCTAAACTAGGATCTCTAAAATTTTCTGTGTAATTTATTATTTTACAATATAACTCCCTACTTCCGAACCTTTTATCTTACAAAATATTATATAAGCCGATAGGGAAAACGAACCGAAAGACATGGCATCGAGTTAAATGATCATGCTTTTCTTTTTAATGTAAAGTCCAAGGATTAAAAACCAAAAGTATCATAAACAGCAAATTCCAAATGCCATTAATTGTGACTTGAACCTAATTATTTTTCAAAAAAAAAAAAAAGCTTCGTTGTAAAATAATGATCTGTAAAGAGTAATTACTAGCATTGAACAAAAGAGATTTCACATATACTCATATGCACCTAGCCATCGAGTAGCTGTTAAGTTGTATCTGGGAAAGCAAGGTTTCAAATCATTTTGTGCATTAGTATGAGCAGCAGCAGGGGAAACAGTAACATGTTTTCATTGCAATCGCTTACCTCCCATCCATGCCCACAATAATGATAGTGTTTTGAGATCCAAATGCTGCAATATACTGTGTCGCCTCAGGCAAATGGAACTGAGCAAACGACCATTCTGAACTGAAGTATCTTGGTAAAACCCCTGAAAATTTTTGGTGAAGGATTAGTTAACGATTTCTTGAGTCCAGAAAACTTCAATTAAACACTAATATGAAGGAAGTTTTGGCCCCTGTTCCCAAAACCCAAACAAGAAGGAGAGTTTTCTTTTGTTTCCTTGTTTCCTCCATTATTGTTCTATTTAAAATAAGAGATAAGCAGAGACTGGAAAGAAACCACTCTTGCTATAATATTAAGATTCATAATATTAAGGACTTTAATCCTAACCATTCAAAATCCCCAATACAACTGATAGATGAACTATCTTACCTCTCATGAATGATAATGATGAACTAGGGTTTGAACCAGTATTCAAAGGAACAAGAGTATCAAGTGCATTAGAAGAATTTTGCTGGAACAGTGTTTTCCCCTGAATTACATTTGTATCAGAAGATGAACCTGCGCCAACAACTCTCACTCGAAGACTGAAAACATGAACCGTGCCTTTATCACTTGCTGCTGCCAACCATTGGACATTTGGCGAGAGAGCAAGACTGAAGATTTCTGCTCTATCCATTCCTCTTCGTACCTAAACGGAAGAATATGCAATGAAACCCAATAAAAAAAGTGACACTACAAGGGCAAATGAAGTCGTTCCTCAATCCTAAACCCCATGAATCTTACTCTATTGTAATGTGCACAGCATAAAAGAAAGGTATTCTAAGTCATCAAATTTTTTGCTTCATATTAGATGAAAATATATATATACATATTTCATACTGTAAAGAAAAATAATGACACCAACTACGAAACTTAGATTTAAACTCTATTTTCATTGTGTAAAGGACCAATAATCATGGGATTGCATGTATTATGTCTTCTCCTTTGCTCACTATCAAGATCATGTCCAACATAAACAACCACGTGTTTGTCCGGTGATCCAAGATAGCTAATTGTGAGCTCAATTTAAAATCATGGGTTAGACTGTGGTGTTCACCTATTTAAAGTATTAAACAAAATATTCTACAAATTTTCTGCTGTCAAATAATAAACGGTGATGCAATTCTGCGGTGCATTGAGGTGCACAAGAGCCAGCCCCTACATCAGCTTTTCAGTTAAAAGAATCACATCCCATGTGTGTGTGACTTTCATTTGGAACCATGCTCATAGCAAAAAACTTAAATTTAGGGACTAGCAGTACAATACCTCTTGCAAGAGCATTCCATCCATTGTATTGAAAATTCTTATCAAAGTACCCTTAGTGCTAGCAGTTGCAAGAAGTAGACCATCCATTGTCAACGTCATGCATGCAATATGAGAATCATGAGCATTAAATAACTTCGTCATATTTAGCCCAAAGTGCTCGACGTGGACCTGTCCACGTTGAACTCCAGGACATGCCAGCACAAATGTATTTACATGGTGGGAAAGGCAACATAGGCCTCTCGGATTTGTAACAGTTTCAATCTGATGAAGAAGCTTGACATCCATCAGCGTGTAAACATATATTTTATGCTCGAGGACAACAATAAAGTGTTCACGCTTCAGTTTTACAGCTCGAATCTCAGACCTAAATGAAAATTCACCAATGCATTGACTTTTATAATCATCCCATATCAAAACTTTGTTTGGTGGATATTGAGAATTACTTCCACTGCCCACAAGTGCCAAAATGTTGCACCGAAACAGCATCTCAACAATTTTAAATCCACCAATGCCCAATTCACGTCTAAATGTTTCCTTGAAAGGATCACAGTTGTAAATACGAAATCCGCAGCTTGTACCAGCAGCAAAGCAACTATAATCTTGATTCCAGAACACTGAATGTAGTTCTAGCTCACTCTTTCCATTTTGTTCTTTTTGGTCAATAGATCCGGAAGCTCCAATTTCTGAGGATTCCTGAGTACTCGCCATTTCTGGTTTAAGTACTCCTCGAAGTGTTTTAACAGCCAAGCTTGACCAAAAAGAGGGATATAGTCCTTCACTGCCTGCAGCTATTTATATTAGTTCATTTATGTGCAGTATGGAATAAAAAGAAGTATATGCCTACCAGTAGAGATCAGACAATGGCAACATTGCAGACTGACGTATTAGCATAAGATTGACCATGCTGTACTTGTACAAATATTTGACATGTATTAGCAATGGTAAAGTCACGTTGCAAATAGCAACACTTTTTTCCGATTGAATCAACATATTTGACAATGTTTACTTCATAAGAACTAGTTAATGTTTTTGTTGAATTAAATGTTTTGTCAGTTGCATTCAGCACCTTGCGCAAATTAGTTGATTATAGAAACTAGTTTTTCCGAGAACTTTCCACTCTCGAATTCATCAGCTCATGACATAATCTTGTAGCAGTACATGAAATGATGTATTTACGCATATAATCTTTGCAACGATTATGCTTCGTCAATTTTGTATCAACTCAAGACAGCTTAAAGTGATGAAATCTACCAAAATGAAATCTGACGAATTTTGTTATAAATGAACATTTACATTCTCGTTTATCTTATTCTCCTAAACCAGCCATAACAAAATGCCATCAGAACTAAAACAGTAGAATGATCGGCAATTATATTCTGAGAATTCCATCTAGCAACTTCCCGTTGATGCTTTATATTCATCAACTTCCTCCTTGATTCCAACAGTGTTACCGCTACGTTAAAACAGGGCACATAATTGGGGGAAAAACTGAAAGAAAAGTCCACTGATACAGTAGATTCGCAATACGAAGGGAACAGAATGACAATGGGTAGTAAAATCAAATTAAATAAAATGGATGAGTTGCCAGAATTGCAGATGATCAAAATCTCAGCAATCTCGAATCAAATTATACGTGATTGGAAATCATAGTCGTAATTTCAAGAACATCAAAGAATACCTCTATTCCTTCTAAGCTCACGACGATCTATCCTTTGTCTGCTCTCTCCGGCCCTCCCGTCCTCTCGGACTCAAACCGCAGATACGCGCAGTCACCTCCACGGAGTTTTTACCTTCTTGTTTATTTATTTCTGTTTTTTGTTTGAAATTTTGTATATATTCGTTGAATTTTTTCCAAACTAATAAATGTTTAGACCTTTTTTTTTCTTTTTAATATAATGAAAAAAATAGAATTGTTTTTTAGATAAAATTTAAGGGTTTATAGATAATTAATGGGTAGATTTTTCTTTTTATTTTTTAAAACTATATAAAAGTTTTTAACATTTTAGTCTAATATTTTAAAATACGAGAGTAAAAA